TTCATAGATAACCCCCTGTGTCTCGTTCCCGTCCAACTCACCGGGAGATCGAAGAGCGGTTGCGCTTCGCGCCCCAACCCCCAACACTAATGGATGCTTAGATACCTGCAACTGAATCTGTAAGCGGCGCAAGGCAAGATGGACGAGAAAAACAGCGAGAAGAGACAAACAGAGGGAGGAAGGGAGACCTCTTTCTATTGCCTTCCCTTTCTACTTCTAGACTGGTTCGTCGGCGGGACAGCGAGCCAAGATCCGATTCGTCAATCGACGAATCCATGCCGCGTAACCTGGCAAAGGGAAAGAGACGATGGCAACGCACCTCATACAAGAGGGAGTCCGAACAGCCTTGTACGTACGCCGCCCACGCGAAGAAGTTCTTCTCTAATTCCAAAAGTCAAGCCACCATTATTCTTCAGTGATGAGCTCTAGCGAACAAATCTTATGTGTTTTTCCCAGAGAGAAATGTCTTTCCACTAGAATAAGTCCGCTGCGAGCCGAGGCACTATTCACCAAGTGGAACTATATACTCTCTTTACTAAGCTAACCGCCCCTTCTCCTATATCTGGCTGCTTCTCGCTCACCAAAGCGTACTTCGTTTCCCGGACCAGCGACTCCTTCTTTCTTCCTTCTAATTGGTAAGAAAGCGGTTTTTCCTCAGGTTCCTCCCTGACCTTAGATGGAGAAAGAAATGCTTAAGGAAAAGGCGCCCTCGAAGCTGACGCGAATGTATTAAAGAGGGCCTCTCTTATTGCCTTATTTGAATCGGCGTAAGGAGGTTCAGTCAAGTATAGTATAGTGCGGCTTATGGTTCTAGTAGCACAAAATATAGAAACTCTACTATGCTAGTTCACTCTAGAAGACCTAGTCTGACTATAGTTAGTAGTATAGATTAGTTAGATTCGTAGAACAGAAGAAGAGCCTTTACTTGACTTTACTTGACTTGACTTGACTTACTTGACTTTCTATCTATCTATCTATTATATTAGTCAAGCGCTAGCACCCCTATAGAGTAGAGTAGAGTAGAGTAGAGTAGAGTAGAGTAGAGTAGAGTAGAGTAAGGATCTCTTCTGGGTAGCTGCGAAGCCTTCAATGTTGGTATGGAGACTTTGCTTCCCGTTCGCTGAACAACCCCCTGTTGCAACACTTAACTATGCTTTAAAGGGCGAACTCCACCTATTTTTGAGCTATTGAATTAGGCGATCCTAAAATCCATTTCTTTCTCACTTCCCTCTATCAGAAAAGGAGGCTTGGCTCTGAAATGGTGGTAAGGCAAGCTGTATGTATCTAGGTAGAAGTAGACCTAGAGCTCTGGGCTTTAAGGGATAGGGCAGGTTTGGAACCCTAACCCAGACCAGGAAGGGAACTATATACTTAATCCGGGTTAGACTATCACATACGAGACTCGCCTGGGCTCTCATCGAGACCAACTCACTTCTTTCTCCTTAACGTCTGGTACCATTGCCCCGCCATTCTGCCTGTCTTCTTGTGGCCGGGTCGGGTCATTCTTCACTCCTGTTACAAGGGGGACCTCTCTTCGCATACCGACCCTCCAGTTAGTTCCATTTCTGGGGCAAAGCTGAGCACTCGGGGCATAAGGGCCTGCGGTGATTATTAACATGCTTTTCCAGCCCATATCTTCCACCTCCGGTCACATGGCTTTCGAGAGCCGGGTCTGGATCTAAACGATTTTTTATGTATGTCTCATGTCTTTCAGCTCAGCGGGATCCAGAGAAAGACAGACCTACTTACCAGTTCTAAGTGGCAAGATCAATCAAACAAAATAGGCTCAAGAGAAGAACCAGTTTTCTTCTTCTTATATATCCCATCGTATACATCGTAATAGACCCCTATTTGAAAATCAGAAAGTACCCTCTCTATTCTTAAGTAGGCCTGCACCTTTTCTTTTAGGTTATCCGGAAGGAATGGAATGACTAATGTGATGTGAAACCTCCACAAAGAAAAAGCTCCTTGGGCTTCCCTATCCGTATGGCCGGCCAATCCGTGACAACCCCACAACAAAGAGTGAAATGCCAAGCCCTTTCTCTATTAAAGCAACAAGCATGCGCTCAAAATACCTCCTAAACCCCAACCCACCTTGTTTGTGTACTGGAACAGCTACCACTTCCTTAGAGCAGCACTAACTTACCGCTCTCTACTATTCTCTACTATAATATAATAAAATGGAAAATATAAGAAAATCCAAGAAAGAGAATAGCTCCATAATATAATAAAAAACTACCATGAATTACACACACGCAAGTAGTGGCTTGGCTAGAGGAAGAAGCCGGAGCCTATGCACTACCGAAGAATGGACCTGATAGAATCCAATCGATTACATAAGATATGCCAAAACCACTTACTGGTCTTTCCGAACAGAATAGCATAAAGAAAAAAAAAGAAGTCAAGTAGACTCGGAAAGAAAAGAGATAGTGAAACCCTCTCCCACCTTTTCTATCTATCCTTAGAAGTAGGACGAGTGTCCTACCTAATTCAATGATTAGAATAATGGAGAAGGGAGAGGTCTTAAAAAAAAACCTATACTCCCACTTTCCTTTATTTGAGATTTCCAAAAAGTGAGATTTCGCAACAAAAATGGGGTGGGCCCCAAAGAGTGAGCGCTCACTCTTTCTTTATGGGGAGAACCACATCTATTCAAAGGAAATGTTTCGGCTTGCAGGAGAGGCATCTGACTTTCTTACTTACTTTCCTACTGACTGAATCACTTTTTTTAGTTGAAGGAGGTTTCTACAGGAAGAGTTGCGACTCAGCGTCGAGGCGGGCGGGGGTTCATGACGAGTGGGCATGAACTGTAACCAAACAAACAAAAGTAAGCCAACCACGAATTCCTGAACCGTAAAGGGAAGCGCCCTGTAAAGTAGTAAAGAGCCTCGCCTAAAGGACCAGACCCGGAGCTGAGAACAAGATTGAAAGCGCAACTTCTCATTCGAAGCATGAAAGTGGTCAGGTCACTTAGAGCCGGAAGAGATAGGAGTGGCCTTATCTTTTTTTTATTTTAGAAGGTTGGGGCTTGCTCGAAATCTGTCAAATACGAGCCCTTCTTTCTCTATTCAATCCAGGGCCTACCTCGATAGACCTGTGTCACAACGGCTAATCTTTTGAGTGAGGGAAGCCGGAGCATTGGTCAAGAGAGAGAAAGAAGAGGAACTATAGATCGAGAAAGTCACATTAGCTACACCAGACCAGACACACCTTTTTTTGTTATCCTATTTTTTGACTGACCGGTCTATTAGTCAAGCACCCCTCAACCAACTAAGAAATTTCTGAGCAGTTCCCCTCACCCCCTATCACTTAAAGGCAGAGCTAACCCTTAATTCTACTGCTCTCTAAAAGGGTATGATGGGGCCCCAATGGATATGTGGATCCGGGGCCCCATCATGGAGGGCCCCATTTTAAAAATCCCCTCAGTACCATATAACCCAAAGAGGAAGGGTATGACACATCCCAAAAGCAGAAGGGTATGATTCAACCCAAGCGGAAGGGTATGATACATCCCAAGCGGAAGGGTATGATGGGGCCCCAAATGTTTCTACTACATAAGTATGTCTACAGCAGCACAACCTTTTCCAGCGGGAAGTTTACTGTGGGTTACAGAATGAAGATCCCTAGAGGTATAGTTCCCTTTACAATTGGACCAGCTATCCCTTTATATGAGTGTCCTAACTCGAACACATATACGGAGCTCTGTAAGAGTATTAACAAAAAAGGGGAGGATTACGAAAAAGAAGTGATAACAGGTCTATTTATTAGGGTCTACCTTAGCAAGGTACAACACAAAGAGTTGACTCTGAGCTCGGATGAGCTAGATAGGAAGGTAATCGAATTGGTGAAGGCGGGTCTCATCTCTGGTTGTGAAGAAGAATTGGCTGTTGAAGCCATAAGTGGGAGTCATAAGCGTTCCAAATCTCTAACATCTCTTCAAGTGAAGAGAAAGGAAAGGAAGTCCTTCATTGTTGCCGATACTGAGACCCTCTTCTTAGATAAGATCCATGTACCTTACGCTACTGGTTTCTTGCTGGTTCACCCTGGTGAAGGAGTCTCTTCCGAGCATCTTTCTAAAGTGGAAAGGTACTTCACAGAAGATTACTCTCTAATAATTGATGATTTCGAAAATCAGAGTAATAAGATGCTCTTTGACTTTATAGAGCGTTTAGCTGTTGTAGCAGCTCGAAACAATGTTCAAACCGTCTACTTCCACAACTTAGGACGATTCGATGGGATTATCTTAATGAAGTATTTTGTTCATAGGTCAACGTACAGCATCAAGCCACTGATGAGGAATAACAAGCTCTACGAGTTGGTTGTCTCTCGTGGGAAGAAGGTGGTCTTCCGTCTAAAGGATTCTATAAACCTTCTCTCCGGTTCTCTTAACTCCTTAGCTAAGACCTTGTGCCCAGAATTGGGTTCTAAGGGCAGTATTCCAATCAAATATGAAGATGTAGATGTGCCTGCTTTGAAGCAGTATGGTTCCGAATTGATGGAATACCTGAAACAGGACATCCTTCTCTTAGGTGGGATCATGCACAAGGCCCAAGAGATCAAGTGGACTGATTACCAGATTGATATCGAGGACTGCTTGACAGTCTCAGCCCTTGCAATGAAGATCTTTCGAACGTGTTATTACGATCCAAATACCTTCCCGATCCATCTACCCGGCAAGAATGAGGATAAATTCATTCGGAGGGGTTACTATGGTGGCCATGCTGATACGTATAAGCCATATGGTGAAAATCTATATCACTATGACGTGAACTCCCTGTATCCATATATTATGGCATCTAAACCGATGCCTGGGGGTGTCCCAGTCTGGAAAAGGGATCTTCGAGACCAGGACTTGGACAGCTTGTATGGATTCATTGAGGCCTATGTTGTCTGCCCTCCAACCATGAAGAAACCATTCCTGCCCTATAAGGAGCATGAGAGACTGCTCTTCCCAACAGGTAGATTCATAGGTGTCTACTTTAGCGAAGAACTCAAGTATGCCCGCAATCTGGGGTACAAGATCCTACCCCTCAAGGGATACCTCTTTGAGGAGAAAGCGTCTCCATTCGGTGGTTTTGTCCATAACCACTACGAGAAGAGACTGGAGGCAAAGAAGAGCTCACATGATGGGATGTCTTATGTCTACAAGATACTCATGAACTCTCTCTATGGCCGATTTGGCATCAATCCAGAAAGTAAAATAATTGAGATCTGTCACAAAGACAATATTGAGTCAATGTACAATCGTTGTGGCTTTCACAGTGCGGATCCACTGACGGATGATTACTTAATGGTTCATTTCGTGAGCAACCACCCCGATGCCCCTGACTATGAATGGCATCCACCTAGGATCTCGGCAGTTCAGCTCTCTGCTGCTATTACTACCTATGCTCGGATCCATATGTACAAATACATCTCAAGAGAGGACTGCTACTACACCGATACTGACTCTGCCTTCCTTGGGAGTCCACTGCCGGAAGAGGAGATCTCATCCACCGTCTTGGGCAAGCTCAAGCTAGAGCATATAGTTCAGGAAGGGTACTTTGTCGCTCTGAAAAGTTATGGTTTAAAGACCAAAGACAATGTAGAGATTGTGAAGCAAAAGGGTGCTGCAAAAAACTATGTGGACTTCGAATGGTTTAAACAACTATACGCTAATCCCTCTCTAAAGAAAGATGTCACCGTTGAATCACTCTTCAACATGAATCTGAGTGATCTTCAAGTCGAACAAAGGGAATCTCTGCATCAACTAGGAATCAATCTCAACAACCCAAAAAGGGATCTCATCTTTGATGAGGATCATGTATGGGTAGACACCAAACCAAAAGTCATTACTGACATCAAGGGCTATGAAGCAGTTATTTACTATTTTGATATCCTCAGATTACAGGATCAAATGAAGGAAAAAGAAGAGGTAATAGGAAGTTTGCTTCAGGAGAAGTATGATCTTCTCAGCAAAGAACATGCAAGTATGCATTCAGAGATAGATCCTAATCATCCAGATGAGACTACACAACCAAACCTCAACAACAACCCTACAGCAGATATCTCACTCGAAAGCCCCTCGAGGACAGTTGAATATAAACTGTTGCCAACGAAAGACAATTTGCTAAAGGAAAAAGGGAGCAAACCAGTTCAAGGATCACCAGTTCAAGGATCACCAGAAGATTGGACACATGCAGCTCAAGAGAACAAGAAAGAAAAGAAGAAAAAACCTCCTTAAACTAAAGCAATTACAAAAGCACTTACTCAAGCTTTAACATAAGGAACTGAATACCCACACTCGAGGAACAGGCCCAGAGGCTCATAGTCGCACACCAACTAAACTAAGGCAGCTATTGAGGAAGAAGGAGAGGCTAATTTGTTTGATTTTATGCCTGAATTGGGTGCCTCTAGATCAAAATCAAATAGGGCAGAAAGCAGGGTGATCCCTTAAGTGCGCTGTTAGCTCGATAAGGTAGGCTGCTTCCCCTTCCCTCCATTGAAGACAGGACTGGTCCAAGCTCCTTTCCTTTCCAATATGAATATGAGCTCCCCGAGTGCTCTCTTCCTGGCTTTAGGATGTAATGATCTACGTTCCTCCCTCAGGGAGTGACTTTGTTAATTGGAATATGCCTCATATCTTAAGTTGACTGGTAGCTCTTTAAAGGGAGGATGATTTCCCCAACCCTGGGGCTAGCTCCCTAAAAGAGGGATTGGCGAAGACATGATCAACAATTAAAGTCGGCTAATTCATCTTTCCTTCAGAGCGCTGTCCCTTGTTTTGGTGAGTTCAGTTTTGTTGCTACCATAAGTGTCATCTAGTCGCACGTACCACCCGCCTTCCTTCCCCCAGCAGGCAAGAAGACTGGGAGGAAGACGATCAGGATCTCACGTGTGGCAGCTGTTGGAATAAACTCCGAATCCTCTATCGAAGTGAGTCCTGCTCCAAGGTCTTCCCTCTATGGGGTCTTCCCCTGCCTATCAGAAAGAGAAAACTACAGGAAAGACGTCGAAGAAGCCTTGGGAACTACCAGTAAGTTAAGCAAGTGAAGCTACCATACTAAGAATAAGAGAGAGACTTTCTCTCCTACGCTCGTCGCCTAGCATCACTACAAGAGGGAAGGAGCCAGTTTCAGTAAGAAATCCCCCCTCATTAATGGTGCCATCCCACTTCCAAAGAGAAGAGAGCTACCAAGTCGTGCATTTCTTCATAAAGTCAGGAAGTCTCCCCTGGCTTTCTTTCTTGGTTCCCTTTCCCTTGTTGTCTATGGAGTGAGTTCGTTGATGGCAATGAGCCTCGCCCTGCTAGCTCGCTAAGTGAGTTTGCTTTCCCTTCCCTGCATGACTGCCTTTAGGAAGGCATGGTCCCAGGGCAGTCCAGTCCTAAGTTCTCCTATAAGCTACAATCTCATTCTTAAACCTGCCTATCGTCCCAGACGATTATTAAGATTCTTCTTTTCATCAATTCTACGTGCAAAACAAAAGCGTCTAGCTATAGGACTCATAATCAGACTTGAATATGTTCTTTTTAGTGAATTCCCCGTTTAAGAAGTTCGTCTGGCCTTCTGCCTGTGCCTCTCTGTAGAGAAGAAGGCTTAGATAGTCCACTCATTCTCTGTTCTTGTTTTCTGTATCTCTTTGGGAGGAAGTACCCCCTCTATTCTCCCTCTTTCTTTCGGTCTTTTGGGGCTCTTCTGGTGTCTTTAGGGTCTCTCCTCCTGTCTTTCCTGCTGTGTTTTGCGATGGTTATGTGGACTCGCAACAGCTTATGTATCACTCATAGTTGAGTCATCACAGAGTTTGCCTATATGAGGTTTCTTAGAGGGAAAGTTATACAAATAGGTAGTGTTAAGCATCAAAGTAATAGACACAAAAGAGGTTCTATAAACGAACTACATAACTACAAGAGTAGACTGCAAGCAACCTGAATAACCTAATAGATAGAGAAGCTTTCCCTGTGGTTTCTTTCTCGTGAGCTAGGTGTTAATAGAAAAAAAAGGCTCGGTTTCTAAGTCAAGACTAAGGCGATCTCTCGCTCCTGCTCTTCTGGCTTGCTGCTCTTGTTAGGTGAGTTCTGTCTCGGAAGACGGCCGATCCGCGTCTGGAAGTAGCTGCTAGCTTCACCTGAGCTCCCGTCCTCAGTCTGTTTTTAACTAAAACTCAAAAGTCGGGGTTTTGGTTTAAAGGATATAAATCGATCGCCCTTTCTTGTACTGAAAGAGGTGCCCAACCCTAAACTATGGGGGGGGTAGTTCCCTAACAGCAGGATTAGCTTCTCGAGAATGTATCCTAAGGTTCGTTCTTTTCTCATAGCAACATAAAGAAAGCGAAAGTCAAAGTCTATAGCAATGGGCCTCCTACGTCGAACTTCTTCTGCATTTCTTTCCCGAAGTCGTGGGTTGTTTTGTTATTCTATGCCTTGATCTTGCTTTCCTAACTGTAAGTGTAATAAGGTAGCTCTTGAAGGCAGGCTGCTTTCTCATTGGCCTCATTCCTAGATGGTAGATCATACTACTCAGACTTTACTGCATGGTCTTCTCCTCTAGTTTTGTATCTTGGCTTTGCCGTCCTGACTTCCCTACTATATGTAGAGATCTCCCAGTGGCTTGGTTCTCGTGGAGCTAAAAGGCGGGGGTATGGTTTTTAGGATCGAAATGGATCGCCCTTTCTTTTAGAGCTAAGTAGCCCAGAACCCCAGGTTCTAAGATCTATTACTAAAAGGTAGGCTAGGAGGTTCTCGTACTGCCCTACAAACTACGAAGAGGAGACTGACATCCCCAGGACTACCCGATTTAGTATATTGAGGGATAGCTTTCCGGCTTCTTTCTCCTGAGCTAGGCTAAAAGAGAGGTACAAGATAGGAGAAGATCCCCGAGGGCTTCCTTAAGTCAGGAATAGAGTGGGTCCTTGTCCCTGTTCCTAGGGATCTAGTTTGTTTCTGTGAAAAGGCGGAAGACCCTACGTCCGTTTGCCTGCCCTGAGGGACTGACTTTGTTCCAGGCAATAAGCAGGAAACCTTAAGTGCACTTGTAGCCCCTCGAGGGAGTTGGCTTGCCCGTGAGGAAGGGACCATTTCTTATATGGAGAGATGTCCCTACGGCTAATTTATCCTAGCTTCATAAAGAAAAGAGAAGGTCAAGGTTTGAATTCCTAGCTTTGAGACTACTACTACGTCAAATGACTGAACCTGGACAGACTTCTCTTTTCAAACTAAGCCAGGCTGCCTGCGTACCGTATTGGATCAAGTTACACGCAGTTCTTCCTACTTACTAAGAGAAATTCGTCCTGTAAGGGTAATGAGCGGTTCACCTATGATGCCTGCTTTGCCGGGCTTCCCCTACCGGACAAGCAAATTAAGGAAATGTGAATGAGTTATATCTGCTATGCCGATCGAAATACGAATAAGATCAGAAAGGCCATCATTGGGGCAAACAATGCAATTGCTTCGGTGGATCCGGACCATTCCATTCACCTAGTATCATTCTTCATCTCCCACGGCTAGGACAGTCCTCTACTCCGACAGCTAGTTACTGAGATTATGAATCTGAGCTTTTTGAATACAGTCAAAGTGGGACCTCCCTTGTTCTCGCATTCCTTGCCTTTGCCCGGCCTTCAAAGGCTAGTCATCATTAGCTCATTGGCTTTCTTTCTGATAGCTTTCTCCCCGGCTAGGAAATTCGATGAGTCATCGTAGGGGCTTCTTTTACTTCAAGCCCACCCTCCTTCAAATCCAGATCGGAAAATTGCGTAGATTGAGATGCAGCTCTTTGATCTCCACTTGGGTCAGCAGTTGAACTCGTTGCCGAAGACCTTGAAGCTGCTCTTGCTGACTTCCTTCCCGTGGGACTTTCCCTCGTCAACTGGGGAAATGGGCTCCGATCCTCTTTCTATTCTATAGCTGTCTATTGAATAGAGGTCGGTGCCAGTGGAAGAATGGAATCAAGAATCAATTGAGCTGCTTGCTTGTCGTTCGAGTGCTGGAAAAAAAAATATATAGCCGCTGCTTCCATAAAAGCTCATCTGATTCCTGAATCTGGTTCGCTCCGAGGGTTAGGATCAAGGGCTGGTCGAGTGGCTACGCTCCTTGGCAGTCCTAGTTGGGTTGAATTTGAACTGCTTGTCTCAGACCTTATTCTCCCCCTGTAGCCCGTTGGTGAGGAGTTGAGGGAAATTCCAGTTTTTTCTCCTCGGTTGATAGCTTAACAGAAGATAAAAACTGACTTCCGCTGCTTCTGGTCGCGCTGCTACTTCCGACTGTGCTGATTCGGGCATTCCTCCAATGCTGGGAGTATGATAAAGCCCCGATTCGATCAGTTCCGTTGCCCAAATCGAATGTTCTACCTGACTCAATCCCCTTCTTCATGAATGGCTTACGAGTGAGGATGCCCAGTCTCGGAACTGAGATTATGAATCTGAGCCTGCTTCCTCAACTGCCTTTTCTTTTGCTTTGGCGGGAAGGAAGGCTGGCACAAAAGAAACATCGGCTTCGGGTCGGACCCTTAGACTAGTCCTATCGATCTGACAAGAAGAAGGGAGGCATCTAAAGGGGGAAGAGTCTATCATGTCGGAGGTCTAAACTACCTTAGATATGCAATTTGAAGATCTTTATGTTCCGGCTGATTGAATTTCAGGAGAAGTAGAGGCCTAAGCGTCCCAAACAGATTCATTAGGTTTAGGTTAATGGGCGGCAAGAGATGCCACATCTAGGTCAGCCACATTAGCAGTTTCAGCAGAAGAAGCTTCAAGTCGCTCAACCACCGACCGGGAGAGAGGCGAAAAGGCTCAACCGAGGAAGGAGCTAGATCTATTCTCAAATCCTTGTCCTTTGCCAATGCCAAAGACATACCAAGGGCTCAAAGCCACTTCGTCATCGACAGGTTCAGGCGCGAAGTGAACCAAACCAATAGCAGTAGGTTCAGCAACGGATTGGGGAAGACATTCACTGACCTACTTGGCCGGAGTTCCCACAGCAGCCATTTTTTCGGCAAGCCCCCGTCAAGCCCTTGTTAAGCTTCTTCAAGCGGAGCACGGCGCGCAAGAGAAGGGGCACTAGTTGAAGAAAACCGCCATGGAACGGATTCTTTCTAACCTGCTGAACTTTCTCAATCGACCTAGATGAAGTCTTGAATTCAGTCAGTTCGGGTGAAAATAACTTCCCCCTTTGCCAACGATATCCCAGAAGTTCGCCGGCTCGACCTGAGGGGGTGCAACTAGCCCATACTTTCTATAAAAAGTCCCTTGACTACTATACTTGATTAGCGAGAAAAGGATCTTGATCTATGAGTTCTCAAATTCTCTTTCTATATGAGTGATCAGAGAGGGATGTGTCGATCAAGGACGTATTGAATGGAAGAGAATCATGAGCTACCCTTCTGAATGGCAAAGATGCATCAGCCACTTCATTTTCTAAGATATTCTTAGTTATTTGGTTGGAATCAAAAAGCCTTTCTTTTTTTCCAGCAGCTCGACCTGAGGTAGATGAGCGTAACAGAATAGAAAGGGGCAAAGCAATGGAACTGGCATCTACTTTCATTGATTCACATTCGATTATGTCTGATAGTCAGGATCAGAGCATAGCATTGATTCTTAACCCCATCGAACAAGCAATCAAGCTAGGATTCATGCCGCTTGACCACTAGGTGAATGGGCAGAAAGGGCAAGTCGGTCTGTCCGGACTTCAACAAACACACTTCAAGCATTTCCGGGTGCTGCCAACCAACCCAACAGGTCTTAGATCTCGACTTCTATCATCGGGACAGCTGGGTCAAAGAGATGAGTTTAAAGGCTAAGTCAGCCACCTAAAAGAAAGTCTTCTTGACTAACATAAGGTCCGGCTTTGCGCGAGAATAAGGTCTGAGACCAGCACTAGAATGACAAGCAGAAGGAGTAACGAAGGTAGCCCTGCCCTTTTTCGGCTTAGAGCGGAGCGGAGAAGAATGAGTTGGATATACACCAGCCACTTCCTTAGCATTTCTTCTTTGCCACAACCACAGCTACGACTAGTAGTATTCATAGGGTCCTTTGATCGCATTCTTTGTCGCTGAAGAGTCTGATCCCCTTCTTGGGAAAGCAGTGGAACTAATAGCTGGCCTAGCTGGCACTTTATGCTAATCAAACTAGAAGTGAAAGTCAAGTTCTTTGAGTTGAATAGACGATGACTGGACACAACGGAACTCTTCCTCTCTAATAGGGGACGGGGTCACTGACTCAATTCAATTTCTTTAAGGGAGGGCGATACTCTGATAGCTGAAGGGCGGTCCTTTTCATCTCTAACTCGAATGTTCGAGCTAATGTAACGGCAGTTTCCGGTAGTTGGAGTTGCCTTGATGTCAGAAAGGTGTCCAGTTCAGAAGGTGCGAAAGAATGGCTATTTTCTTGCTCGTGTCTTGGCCACAGCTACTGCTACTGCTCGTAGTCATAGGAAGAGCTCATAATCTCGAAATTGCTCGCCCGAATTATCTCTCAGTTTCTTTCTGTCTGTGGGACTGGCTAACCAATGAGATAGACCAGGTTCAAACTCAAGCTTGCCATTCAGAGGAGTTTATCCTGTCCCGTGCATTCCCTTACATAATCTGTAGAGTCATTCTGTCCACCGTGAAATATAGCCTGACAGTAGTCGAACCTGGTTCACCTCTTTGATTAGTCAACTTCGATCAAGGAAGTCGAAAATCAATTGACCGAGTAATAATCAGCAATCAGTAGTGCTGCTAGCTTGAGGGTTCTCAATCCTATTCTATTGAAGACCGGAGCATCCGTCCCCACCAGTCGAAGGAGAGGAATAAAAACCTAGCATGGAATAATGGTAAGAAAGGAATCCTTATCCTGCCCTGGGGAAGGATTTTATCTTTTTCCGGCCATGGCGAACCAATCGATGGATTTCCATCATAGCTACCCGAACTTTCTAAATAGATCGGATTCTTATTCCTTTCTCCCTAGCCGAGAAGAACCATTCTTTGCTACATTTTTTCCCGTAAAACGAAACTTTGATCGTTCAGATCTCCCCGTTAGTAAAGAAAAATGGATTGCAACAAAAAATACGGGGAAAATGAAACTTTTCACTTTGAGATCTACTCTTATTAGTGAAAAAGCTCTTGCTACAGTTTATCCCGGGAAAATGAACTTTGATCGTTCAGATCTCACTTTTCTGACCTGACTTCGGTGAAATGCCAAAAACACCGTGTTTCCTAGTTCGATCTCCTTTTTCTGTCAGTCACCGGTCGGAATCTGTCTTTAGGCGAAAAATACGCGGTTTCATAGCTATAGCTCGATCTTACTACGGGACTTTCTGGATGTTTAAGTATCCCACTAAGCCAGTCTGTCTGCTAGCCCAGAGTGGAGGAGAGAGATCCAATTAGCTTACTTTGAACTCTTCCTATCCGAGTAGTTCCTATCCCAGTAGGTAGTAGGAAGCCAAGCAAGGATAAGAGATAGATCCTATGGTTAGGACTGACTGGAAGGTTATAGAAGACGAAAACGATGGATGTCCTAAGTGACAATGCCATCGGAAAAAAGACTCTTTATTCGGACTAGCACACGAGGGCGTTAAGCACCTATCTTACTAATACTAATAAGAAGAAAGGTTTGGAACCCGGATAGAGAATATCTTACCTGTAGGATTGACCATGAACTTCCTTACCTCACTTGCGGTTCTCTAAGGTCTTCCAAAAGGCTTCTTGAAGGTTAGGTTAGATAAAGAAAGATAAGAATAGAATGGATGAGGTAGTTCTTTCTTTCCTCCTACTGGTAGGGTTAGATCAAGATAGACTGCGTTAGAAGCCATTAGAAGTAGCCCTCTCTTGCTATTAGCTCCGAAGTTTGGCATTCGTGAGGACACCGTCCCAGTTATCTGGATCGGGCATTCCTTCAACAATAGAGTTACTGGTCCCAGTTCCTCCCTCGCCTACAGGAGTTATGGATCGATAGAGGCAGGGCGCTCTTCCTGCCTAAACCTAAAGGCTTAAATATAGTCAAGTCATTCCTCTCCTAGCAAGCAGGGTCTGGAATAACTATATAGTTGGGGCACCGAATATGCCTTATTTGTCTTAGTCCTATAATGGGTCTATCTCCGAGGCCGGAGGTCTACTACAGGGTACCGGTTCATTATCCGACACAAGGCAGTCTCGCATAAAAAGCCGGTCCCCTCCTGATCAAGCTGGGTATGAAGGTGAGCTCCTAAGTCAGTCATTCCTTGCTCAAGTGAGGCTGGTTTAGTTCAAGGCCCCGGTTCTACCGATTTCCTTGGCTTGGGGTAAAAACACTTTCTTATAGTACACAACACGAGCGGACTCTTTTCTTCAAATTCTTTCTTTGCTTTTATGCCAATTTCATTTATCTTATGCCGTTAGGAAGGAGAAGAGCAAAGGTCTCTCGAGCATGGTAATGGATGCGAGGGAGCAACTTAGATTAGACCAGTCCTCGATTTAGGACGAAATCCAGACTTCGGAGCTCAGCTGGGATCGGGAATGAACCCGCTAGGAATGGGGAAGCTCAAAGCAGCACAGAATAAATATGGCTATAGAATTGTCTTCACTGGTTATGAAACCTCTTCCCTGGTCGAATTCAATGATTGAAAAGTTGCCCAAGAAACTAAGCGAGAAGATGGATCAGCAGCCTCGGAGCAGATCGAAGGCTATCAATTTGATGGCCAGTTCAGTGTAACAACAGAGAGCCTTGAAAGCATCTCACGTGAGGGACCCTAATGTTTCTCAAATCGACTAGCTAGAGGCTCGAGAATGGAGTGACGGAAGAAAAGACCGAAAGAGAGCAGAAGACTAGCCTGAGGAACCAACCGTTGAACTTATTTTCATCCTTGAGCTGATTGGAATGGTGGACTTCGACCGGGCTTTGTTTTGTCCATTCGATTGGCTAGTCCGGCTTTCCCCCTTTCTCTTAGTTCGTGTGTTGACCGCCCTTCGATTCCCCCAATTCGTAATAGGGGCGGCCCACTAGATAAAGCAAGTGCGTGTATTGGCTTGGCTTCCCCTGCCCCCAGTTCGTGCTAGGCGAGTTCGCAATAGGATGGATCAAGTAGTGTATTGGCTTGTCTTCCTCTGAACCGATTTCGTGGTATTCAATCCCGCGTGAGAGCCAGGAGATGAACCACTGAGTGGGTCTAGTTTGAAAGTAGTAAGGTCACCCCCGTACCAAAGGTGGAGTCTTCGTCCAACCCAACAGGTTCAAGAGTCCTCGCCCAGGTCCAACCAAGTCAGAAGGCCAACCTGAAGACTCAGTTCCAAGGCAAGGTGCAGTGCCACCTAGGTCTCAAAGGTCACAGGAAGGTGTCTGAAGGTCTCAGTTCACCGTCAGGAGGAAGTTCAAAGAAAGGATTCAACCAACCGCCCAAAACAAAGCAACCCTCTGGTGCCGCCCCTCCGTGTCAAAGGTTCAAGATTCGGCTGCTTCATCATTCCTTTAGGAGATTCTTTAGAAGAAATACGGGGTTCTGCTTCTGGCGGCAACATGCTATTGGGTGGTGGTCCCGCTTATGGGGTCAAATCAATACGTTCTAAGAAGAAATATTTGAATATCAATCTCAGTCTCTACTCTGGTAAGGACCAAGTGACTTCATTAGCGTGGAGCTAGGCATGGTAAGCATAAAGTAGCGGTAGCGGTGTGACTTTTTTCGTGACTTGACTGCTAGCAGCTGATGAAACTATAGCACGAACAGCTACCTCCTCTTCCCCTCGGGACACTCCCTTTAAAGACGTTAGCAATCAAAGCTGATTCAACCAAAGCAAGAACAGCGCCTTCGCCTGCTTTGATTAGGACTTTCTCCGGCTACGGCTACAGAGCCATCTAAATGCTACTTTGCGTAAGACTTTTCATTCGATTTTCACTACTTCGAATTTCGCTACTCCGGACTCTTTAAAGGCCTTGAGCCCGCCCCAAAAGAATGGAATCCGGAAGTCCGGAACTCCCTTTACAGAAGACTTCGAGTCAGTAGCTACCTTTGGAAAAAGAGTAAGAACTGATAGTCATCGTAGTCATCGCCTTTCCCTTTCGACTGGCATTATCACACCGCCATCCAAAAATGAAATAGCAGCTCCTAGCCCTAAAGGATAAACAAGACCTGGACCTGGTTCAGGTTTGAAAGCAGCCCTTATTCCATTCATTCCATCAACAGCTCAATCGATGGGACTTGCTTTCCTTCCTAAAGGAAGTTACCCGGAGCCGGTAGAAATGACTGACTTAAGATAGAGCCCCTAACAGAGTCCATTCTCCGAATAGTAACCTTGAGATTGGGAGGCAAGCCAAAGATCTGATTCACTAGCAAAGGTAGCAGGAGTCGATAAGTTCAAACCAAAAGGGAAGGGCAAAGGATCAACCACATCCATCCCCTGTGAACGCACAGCCTTGTCCCATGTCCCAGGTCAAACCTAGAAGTCAGGCTCAAAGCTAGGACTAGTTCCACGCTTGGTCATTCGTCTGTGCCTCTGCCCCTCTCTCAGGTGCTGATGTTTCACGGTTCTCTACTTCCTTCCATCGGGGATCTCTCCTCCCTGGTTATCTCTTCATCTCAGACGCTTTTCTTCGTATTCTGCTTTGTTGCATTCAGTCCACTGAAATGAAGATAAATGAGACCGAACCCTAAGAAGAATCCTCAAGCAAGGGAACCTCACCCCGAAGTCCTTGACTTGACTCTCAATCCGTGTGGGAACGGAACGAAGGCTCTCAACGGAACTTCACTCAATTAGGATGACAGAGGCATTCCCTGTGATAGTCAAACTACGCGAAAGCAAGGAAGGGATTAATAGTTTATGTGCCCGCTAGCCGATTAGAATAAGGAAGCACATGTCAATGCCATTAAGATGACTGGTGCGGAACGTAACCTTCAACCAATCCGGTTGTCCTAAGGATTTCGAGTGCGTTTTCCCGGTGATTTCCAACAAGTCTTTCTTCATTTAGAGCAAGAAGCGGTCCTAATATTAATATAATAAATGGTTGCCTTACCTTGAAAGGGACGAAAAGAGCTAGTGAGCAATGACCTTAAAGGGGAATAGGCTTGCTTCTTCCTAGCGATCGGGTGGTCCTCCCTCTTCCTGTTCACCGCCGGTTCGCCCACTGCTGCTTTCATAGATGTCGTGCGAAGGGACAGACTTCTCAGCAGCCTCGTCAGGATCCTCGGCAGGGCCACCCGAGAATGCATCCTCTTCCGGGGAGTCATCTTCTTCTTGCCCTTGGCCTTAACCGCTTGCTCCGACGGATCCGTAGGGTTGGTGTGGCCAGATTCGTCTGCAAAACGAAATAGAAAAGTATAGACGAATCAGCTATTGCGAAAGACGGTGAAAGGGAAGACCAAGAGAAAAAAGACCCACAGCAATGAATTCGATGATACGGGAACGACCACGCTTTCATCATTCCACAGGGAGCCCCGCCTAAAGTTTATCGGTTCTGGTTCTCACACTGTGTTCCCTTTCGGGAATTGAGTCTTTCATCGCGAGGTAGGCTTTCGTATCACCGATAGGTCTTTCGCTCCTGTTATTGGTTCAACGGGTGCTGTCAAATGACCGAACCGCTGTAACGTAACGAAGCTGCTTGGAGAACTGGTGTACCATTCGTCTCTATTACGAGGCGAGCGTTGACCAATAGAAATCTCCTTTTCTTCGAGAAAAGTGCTTGCTTTGCGCTCTTTGATCCATATTATATATAAATGATATATAAGGCTCTGTTCTGTAATGCGAGATCTTTGTTCGAAGCCACACCATCCCCTTACGAGCCCTAAGAACAGGCGTTAAATGGTCCTCTAGCACCCTCATTTGATGAAAGTCTAGCCTTCACTCGAGGCTCAGCCTCTCGATTAGTCTCTCTTCACCGATCAGCTTGATCATTATAAGAATATTCGCTTTAAAGCTTCCTTGCCATAGCGATTGAAAAGGTTTGTACCAATTAGAGTTGGATTAGCTGCCACTAGACCTAGTCACCACAGCCAATGATCTTCATCCCTGACCTCGGCCCCTTGCTTTCTTTCTTTTTATGGCTTACCTTCGTACCCAAGGGAGGTTTTACCCACCAAGTCCAGCTTTCTTGTGAAAGTCTTGGCTTGCTCTTTTTCCATGCTCAGGATTCAAGTGATAGCGCTTGCTATTGCATGAAAGGAGGTTGGTGTCACGAGCGGGATTCGAACCAGCACCTCTGGACAAAATCAATATCCAGCGAACACTAATGTCATCTCATTCTGACCTTGAGTTTTGTTTACCCGATTCAGCACGTGGCCTACGTTCGGTGCAGGCCGCTAGGACCTACGAACTCTCCTTTCTATTTTCTTCCCGCTTTGATTGTTGCTGTAAGCATACGGAATGCTCTCAATCGAATTTGATTGTTGCTTTGATTGAGGGAAGAGAAGATAGGGCATAGCTATTGTTGCAATGTACTTACCTTATCTATATATTCTAACAGCAAGAGGAGCCTCCCTCCCCCTCGCAATTCTCCTCCCTCTGACCTCTCTACCTATTCCCTTAAAAACATCGTAATGTGATGCAAGCTGATCTACATTTGAGAACTATTCCTACTGTGCTTTAAACATGTGGTAAGTTGAATCCTATTTCAAGCTAAAAGAAAGGTCAGCGTTTTCCTTTGCTTGCGGAAGTCACCCTGCTTGTGTCTTCAGTATCCAAATAAGTATTCAAATAAGGAGATCAAAGCCCCCAACAATCAATCCCAGGGAGCTGCTTCACCTTCTATCCTCCCCCACCTTTCTCCAGTATCTCACTGCCTGAGACCCGAAGTAAGTAGCCACAAGGGAATCGCGAAGGATTCAATCCAGTCAAGGGTTTCCTCCGCCCCTTGACTACCTTATGAGACCACAGTGGGGAAAGCTCATCTATCAATCTAGACCGAAAGCATTCTCACAACATTGTGTGATAGGGTTATAAAATGCACTCAACTATATCATCAAATCTTCTACTGGTATCTTCAATGCTTCTTCGCAACCCAAGGTTAATGCTAAAAAGGCAACAAAGAGTACCGCAATAGTATGCTTTCTGTTTAGACCTTTATTGATATCCAGGGGATCGAAGGTTATTCTTTCTAAGTATTCTTTTGATTCCGAGTTTACCAGGTCAGTCAGGGGAATACCCCCTATAGTACCATTCTCATCGGGTTCACCTTTTTTTAATACGGTAGATATTCCCATTACCTTTATCCATATCTTGATCCATTTATGATCAAGGCAGGATTCAGGCACCTGTTCAATTACAAACTCAGGCAATGCAGTCCACCAAATTATGAATCCAATTCCTAATGGAAAACATACTTGAAAGGTCAATTCCCTAAATCTGGCAACAGATTTTTCAAGAAAGACATCCGCCGCGTCAAAGAAGATGTCATCTTGTTTCGATGGATAAGGGACCACTTACGCCCCGCGTACTTGTTACAGGGACGTCACCCCTAGAACAGCAGGAAACAAAGGAGCTACTAACAAACAGACGAATCGGCGATCGCTAATACGGCCAGAAGAACAAAAGAAGCAATTCCTTTATGAGTTACATGCCTCCTTACAGCAGGAGAAGATACTTCATCTGTTAGTAGTTACAGAAGCCCTAACGCATGAACAGCAACTGACTTGCAGCTTTCTTACGAGGACATAACCCTTATGACAAAAAGCAAGGGCAGCCTTTGGGGCAGTCACAATAAGACGATACCCCGATCGTAACATCGTCTGCCCATACTGTTACACAGAAATAACACCATTTATTAAGGAAAAGAGATTCCATATTACTTACATGATCAGACGAATCCCCGACAAGTCCTATTACTAGGACCGATACAAAAAAGAAGATCAAGGGGTCGGACCCAAGGGTAGCCACAATAAGGCCGATAGGGAAAAAATCCATCATGTTTGCAATATAAACTATCATTTCTCTTGCCCTGCAATGTTCACCTTCGGTTCCTCATCGATAGTTGTGTCATCCAAATCCTTGCCTTCACTTGCACACCACTTCGCTTCAGCTATCTGATATTTGAATTGAATAAAGGTAAAGGCTGATCAGGAACAAGCTAGCCTTAATCAGACTTCTCATCCTTCGACCAATTCCTCCTCATTAGGATCCGACTCGGAATCCCTGACTACTGAATTACCTGATGAGATAGCTTGAACAGCGGAAATCTCCGATTGAAGCTGAATCTCCTCTCCTACCATAAGATGGCTCGTCGCCTCGCAAGGAACTTCATATATTTCAAACATCGAACATATTCCTCGCGGACGAAATGCCCGAGCAGATGCATTAGCTGGCCAAGCAAGCAGAATAGAAGCAAAGTAACTCGACTCACTAAAGGATAGGAGCGACAAAGCTACTTTCCCGTTAGAGTACAGCTCCGCAATTGAGCTAGTTTCACTTAACCCTGCAGCAGGATCTTCAAGAGGAGCGTAAGCGATGATCTGAAAGAGAGGAAGCTCGCCTTAGCGCATCCGCCAGCCAGCCCTATGAGCTAGCTTACCAGCTCAACCTCTGCCACTACTGCTTCGCTAGCCAATGCTAGAGATGGAAGATCTAAAACAAGGGCTGAGCCTATGCTTATCCTATTCATGCTAGCCTTTGTGATTTGATTGCTTATTCGAAGCCTTTCCTTGGGCTTGGACTCCTTTCCTTGGACCAGGCACCAAAGCAAGCAAGAGATTGAAGCGGGGCATGGGAGACACGAAGTATTGCGAAAGAAGGAACAAGGGACGCCTCATTCCATTAAGCAAGAACCCGAGCTAAGAGCAGGGCAGATGAAGTCGACAAATCGGGTCTAAAAGCAAAAGCCCGTACATATAAAGCATTTTCATGAAAAAACTATCTACAAGACTTATTACACCTTGGGGAAAGCCCATACAGCAGAACAAAAGGAATGGTTTGGTTGATAACTGATTGCGCCGGACTGGTATACTTCTCCTCTTGGCTTTGCTTTAATAGAATATATTTCGATTGGAAGAGACTTGACTCATGCACTCATGAACTCATATGCACTCCTAAACTCCTGAAATCAGGAACTGGTTTGAAAGCTTCACTCATGAGCTATCTTACTAAAGGAATTCCAGAAGTGAAGGGTAAGAATCAATTGACCGAGTAATAATCAGCAATCAGTAGTGCTGCTAGCTTGAGGGTTCTCAATCCTATTCTTAAGCCAGTAGTAGTTCAGGGAAGTTTTCATGTTTCTTGTTTAGTTTCTAGGCAGCCAGTCTTTACTTCACTCGGCCCAAGCTTGACTTAGCCCAAGCAATGCCCAAAGACTCCCATGCCTTTCTTGACTTTTGGTTGGTAAAGCCAACCCAACTGGTGATTCCCGTCTTCCTGAATTGGGAGAGCAAGAACAAGTCTCTCTTTTTTTGGGGGGAGCAGAGCAGTCAAAGAATGAACCAAACCAAATGATTGTTCTAGAATGGCTATTCCTCACAATTGCTCCTTGTGATGCAGCGGAACCATGGCAATTAGGATCTCAAGACGCAGCAACACCTATGATGCAAGGAATAATAGACTTACATCACGATATAAAACGTCTATTGATTTTTTGTTTATTGCTCTTATTTAGAGTAGTATGGGAGTTCTCGAAATGGAAACTCTATTTTCATGTACCGGAAAGGGTTTGGACCATTTCTACTTGCATCATTTTTTGTTTGTTTTCATTTTCCTGCGTCGAAATAGCTGAATGCGCAGGCCATTCTACTGAAGGGGTAGAAAAGCTTCCTCTTCCGTCAACCACCTCCTCCCCCCTGCCCTCGATCTCAAGCAGGGGGTTATCTTGGATTGATGAGTTTTTTGATCCAGAGGTCTCGTCGTCGGCCCCAGCCCAGGGTCAACGACAGCAAGAGGAGGGTGGTCTCTTTCAGCCACCCCAACCGGCCCCCTCTTCCTCTTCTACTGGCGTGGGGCCCCACGAACCCCCCACATCGGAAGAAGTGAAATCAAAGCTCGCCGACTTTTTGTCTTCCTTTGGAAGACGAAAGGCACGCGCCAATTTTATTGATCGAACCGAACGGGAACTTGAGATAAGCGCTGCTTCCCCTGAAAAGCTGGGTAAACTTATCCAAATAATGGAAACCCTAAGCCGCGGCCCAAACAAGCCCAATTCGGGTCAGAATGCCGCGGCCAAGCTAACTATGGAACTCGAGGCATGGGCAAAAAGGGTGGCGTCAAAGCCTTCAACAAAAAAAGCCATTTGATTCAGTAGAGCTCAAGGCGGTATAGTCAGTGTGAAGTGTACTAACGCTTCACTGAATCTATCCCGGCCTTCCTTTTTATACAGGCGTATACAATCTCTCTAATTCAAAAAGGGGGAGATTTTTCGTATCGTATACGTATATAAGGCTCCAAAAAACCAAAGTAGTGCTTCATAAACGAGGCGGCATCTCAAGTAGCCTTCACGGAGGCCCACTTCCATCCCGCAAGAGAGCCGTGAAATCTGATCTTTCTCGATTTCCACTCGTGTGAGAAAAAGCGATGAGGTTAGTGTGAAGCAACCAACCTATACCCTGCAATCAAACTAAAGCGCGTTAGCGCCCCTTCCAGCTTCTTTCTCAAAGTCAAGAAGGATTTCGCC